GGAGCAGTAGGTTCAGGTTATGCCTGAAAAACTTTCATAGCCAAAGTCAGTTTAAGTCTTGGAGTTTAGGGCTTTTTTTTTTTTTTCCCTACTGACAATCATGCTATTGCCTTTTGTATGCAAAAATTGCTAACAAAAAGCAAATTTCAAAATCTCAAGCATGAGTATTCATGGAAACCAAAGTTTAAACAGATCAGTAACCAAGAGAGAACAGTGACCTGATTTCCACTTGTTATAAATAGGACCACGCCTCACCCACAATGATTTTGTGTCAGTGCCTGTGGCTGATGAGAGAACTCTGTAGTTGTAAATGCAATGTACTCAATATATTGGAAGTAGGGTGGAACATCACTTAACAAAGTCTCTTCAAGTAGGTTCCTGGTGAGTAGTACTTAAAGGTCAGCTGAGACTTTTCCTTAGCCAACAACATGGCCAGTCTCATTGCTCTGGCCATGATACCTTGAACAAATACTCCATAGCTTGGAAAATAAAAATTTGTTTTGATTGCCTGATGGTAGACATGCCTAGTGCACAGTCCTGTGAAGAGATAAATACACATAAAAAGCAATAGACCTTTGTTAATGGTGTTTCTGTTTCTGCCAAGAAACACTGAATTTCTCAGCCGAACTATTTCTTGATGATTAAAGTATTCCAGCTTCTTCAGAGTTTTAATATGGATCACTTTGAAAAATACAGTGTTATTCCTTGGAGTTGTACTTTAATATTTCTATATGCTTTTCATAAATTACTGCTCCTGAAATGATAATATTTTTCGGAGGGATACAGAGCTCCAGTGGTTTTTCAAGCCAATCTGCTGAATGAAATTCAGCTAGGCAGAGGAGAAAATATTAAAACAGTTAGCACAATTGGTCATGATGGAACAGCTCAAGTTGAAAAGAAAATATTCCATTGTACAATTTCTTGAGAGGGCATGCTCTGTACAAGTCTAAATTAGTGACTGGTAGAGTGAAAATACTATGGAGATGTGTATAACTCAATCCAAACTTTAACTGGCAAGTGTTTGGTGGTCTTAGACACATTGCAAATGTTTTCCTCCCCCTTCCTTCTTTCCCTGGCAGAATATTTTGGTCATAAAGCACCAAATGATCAATCAGCAATTTTGGATGTCTTTAACCAGATCTAATATAGGGAAACTTTCCACTCATGTACCTTTATCTGCAAACTTACTGCCAATATGACACACAAGCATCCTCCTCCCCTTTCCTGTAAAAGGCAGGCTGAAAGGTCTATTTAATGGATTGCTACATGTGAGAAAATAATCTACCATGAATGGGTTCATTGCTCCTCAGCAACAACCAGTACAGGAAAACTCCACACTGAATTCCCAGCCAAAAGTGGGAAACATCCCCACAAATGTCTGGCAAAAAACAATCCTTAAATCTTATCCCATAAACTGCTTAATTCATTTTGTGCTGTGAACAGATGAGTGTTTGGGGAATAGGTTAGAATAAGAAACTGTAATTATATTATTAACAAGCAGATTAATGACTTTAATAGCTAGAAATCTAACAACAGCAAAGAAAAAATATTCATAGCAAGTGTCAGAATAATGCCAGTATGAAACAATAAAATGAAAGGAGACAAATTGTCCCAGAGAATATGTTTTACTCCTGTATAGTATTATTTAGTCTGTATTGTTAATCAAATTTGGCATAATAATTTTCAAAATGAAAAGAAACCAGGAAAAAAACCACAGAGACACTCCTCAAGCAGTAAAGGCATGTATTAAAAGCATTTGCATGCAACCTGATATGATTTGATGACTTATTTTTAGTCCTTTATGTTCTGCTACTTCCTCTAAATAAAATGACATACATCTTGCATGGACTTGATATACCCTAACATCCATTCAGGCCTTGTCTTTTTAGCCAGATTTGATTATGTTAATTTGTACTAATGATATATACCAATGCATTTAAAATTTGAAGTATTTAAACCAAGCTCTACCTCACACTTTACCGACAAGCTTAAGGCAATTAAAAGTCTAACATGTCCTGCCTTTTAAGTAAACTGATGGCCATGAAAGCATGTTGATAATAATTTGTCTTAGCGAAGACTTAAAAAAATAAAAGGGTAATATTGTTTTCAGTAAATCCCTTTTGCCTTTAATTCTGGTCAATTTTTATACTGGCATAAGTAAACACAGAAAACATAGACCAATTCTTACACAAGTACAGCTTTTCTTCGCACCATTTAATAATGTAAACAACTAACTGTTAGGAGTAAACACAGATTTTATCTGCTCAAAAGGAAACTGAGCTGAGTTGAATAGGCCTGTAACCTTTCCTGCAGGAAAGATGTTCAATTTGCAAACAGGTTTATAGAGAGCTCTTTCTGTTTGTTTTCAGGGAATACTTTACAATCAGAAATGAAATCTCTCCAGGTGACTATGATAGTCACAGCATAATCCTGCCAAGAGATGCATGGAGATATTTCTGTACACAATTAGATTTTAGTACAAATGCCTCTTTCTATGTAATATCTGAATCAGAATCTATAAGTAACTAAGTAGAGATGGTGCATAAGGCCACAAAACTATGGAGGTTTTCCGTGGATTTTATATATCAACTGTGCACAAGACAGTGCCTGTGCTCCTAATAACATGGTTAAGTATAACACATAGTTTTATAATAATGATTTATTACTGAATATTGACTTAAGTGGCTTAATTCTTAAACAGTAAAAATTTGTTTGGCTTTTGATTTTCGGCTAAGAGGAACAAAGTTTCTTCCTTGTTTTAATTAAAAATTTTAGCATTGCTGCCAGTAGGTTAAGTGTAGGAAAGTGTCACTTACCAGAACTGAACACGGAGTGGTGCTATTTGAACAAAAATGGATTGTATTCGGTCCTTACAAGGTTTGGGATGTGCTGAATAACTTTTTGGGTAATAACTTTTGGTTTAAAAAAACCCTAACAAACACAAAAGACACAGGTTTCATGTGAATTGCTGTCAAAGCTGCCTGATGATAACGCATAGCACAGCTCCTCATACAAAAAACATTCACTTTTAAGCTTTGTATGTTTTCCAGCATTGAAACCTTGAATAGTAAACACATGGCACAGTCACTTAGCTTGACCTGCCGTAGTAGATTTCAAACTAAAATAGTAAGAAACCTAAATATTTGCAATCAAAACATTCACCTAATACATTCATTCACACTAGACAGAAGGAAGAAATCTTTTACAATGAGGGGGATAAAACACTGGCATGGATTGCCAAGAAGTTTCCAATTCCTGGAAACATTCAAGGCCAGGATGGACGGGGCCCTGAGCAACCTGGTGTAGTGGAAGGTGTCCTTGCCCATGGCAGGGGAGGGGTGGAACTAGCTGATTTTGAAGGTCCCTTCCAACCCAAAGTATTCTATGATTCACAGTATTCACCAACAGAGAGTTGTGTTGATGCACCTCCTTGGTGAAAGGAGGTAAAAGGCTACCTGCCCGAGGAGCACCTGAGCTGTTTTCAACACTTTGGTCTCTTCTCCTGAGTGGTAGGTGGTAGGGCAGTATTTAACAGCCTCGAGTTGCACCTGATGAGGTTCAGACTGGATATTAAGGCAAATTTATTCACAGAAGGGAATATCAAGCACTGGAACAAGCTGCTTTGTTAGATGAAAAGATAAAATCTGTGTTTACTCCCAACAGTTAGTTGTTTGCAGTATTAAATGGTGTGAAGAAAAGCTGTACTTGTGAAAGAATTGGTCTATGTTTTCTGCATTAACTTATGCCAGTATAAAAATTGACCAGAATGAAAGGCAAATGGGATTTACTGAAAAAAACCCCAGTATTTCCCTTTTTTGTTTGCTAGTCTTGCTAAGTAGAATTAGAATCATAGAATCATAGAATCAGCCAGATTGGAAGAGACCTCAAAGATCATCAAGTCCAACCCTACCGTGGTTACCAGACCATGGCACTAAGTGCCACATCCAGTCTCAGCTCGAAAACCTCCAGGGATGCTGAACCCACCACCTCCCTGGGCAGCACATTCCAATGTCTGACTACTCTCTATGTAAAAGAACTCTTCCTAATATCCAACCTAAACCTCCCCTGGCAGAGCTTGAGTCTGTGCCCTCTTGTCCTGCTGCTGGTTGCCTGGGAGAAGAGACCAACCCCCACCTGACTCCAACCTCCTGTCAGGGAGTTGTAGAGGGTGATAAGGTCTCCCCTGAGCCTCCTCTTTGCCAGGTTGAACATCCCCAGCTCCCTCAGCCTCTCCTCATGGCACTTGTGCTCGAGTCCCTTAACCAACATGCTTTCAGAGACTCCTCCCCTACTGTGTGAAGTTACAGCTCTTTTCCTCTTTCTATTTTCTCACTTTATTTTCTCAACGACAGAGCGCTAGATGGCTGAGAAGAACAAGCTGCCTTGACTCCGCCTTGCCTGGCGGAGCCACCACCCTGGGGGCGTTTAAAAGACGTGTGCATAGGTCACTTGGGGACATGGTTTAGGTTGGACTTGGCAGGGTTAGATTGTCGGCGGGACTCGATGATCCGAAAGGTCTTTTCCCACCTAAAGGATTCCATGGTTTTCCCCCGCTCGGGATAACCGAACTCCCATTCCCACGGGGCACGGAGCGCATCCCTCCCTGCCTCCTGAGCTCGGGGCCGAGCACGGGGACGCGGCGCTCCCCGCGGCATCCTTCGGCCACAGCATCCTTCGGCCACAGCATCCTTCGGCCACAGCATCCTTCGGCCACAGCATCCTTCAGTCACAGCATCATTGGGTCACAGCATCCTTCGGCCACTGCATCCTTCAGTCACAGCATCCTTCGCTCACAGCATCCTTCGCTCACAGCATCCTTGGGCTCCTGGCCGGAGGACAGAGAGAGCAGCAGGTCCTGCCCACCCCGCTCCACTCGCTGCCTCCCCGCGGGTCTCGTCCCAACTCGCTCCTCGTCCTGCCACCCCCAACCCTTGGCACTCCCCTTCAACGCGAGGCTGCGGCTGCTGAGTAACGCGTGCGCCTCTCTCCTCTGCCAACAGGAGCTCCTGAGCGATCTTATCGGCCAGAGGGAACGAGGAGAACTTTTAACGCAGAGAATAATCAAACTTCCAGATAATATTTTGAAGCAGGTAATGGTTCAAGAGGGGTATGGCAACCCCCCCGTGACCCCACAGGGAGTGGCAGAGCTGTTCTGTATGCATTAAGAATGCTACACATTTTATATACATTACTTCTGATACTAGGTTCATATAATTCTGTTAAAATATTATGCATATTTTGATTTAGGTACAGCTGTCAGTAGCTGGATTTGTTCACTTTGGAGACACTGTGATGCTTGTGAACCCAGACAACAAATCCTCACTGGAGAGGGACCCTAAAGACTGTGGCAATCTGTCCTTGGCAGTGAATATGGAAGAATCATTCCTGTATTCATCTGAACCACTGCAAATCCCATATGGAGTGAGTGCAGTCATGAGTGTGGAACCTGTGGGTCGAAATACTTTCTGTATTGGCAAGTTTGGTGCTTTATTCTGAATTGTTTTCAACTATTGTTTTAGCTTTAGGTATCATTTTGAGAAATAGACAATGAAGTTTGGTAATATAAAAATGAATTTGAGCTTAATTTATTTAAGGGTGTCTTTAACTTGGGTCATGCATTAAGCTTGATTCTGTGCTGCATATCACTGTGAATGACACCAAGGATATTTAAATCAGCTTAGGTGTGTAACCAGAATGGAGTTCACTCTATCATTTGATAAATTCTGCAGCTGTTTTTGTTGTGGTCACATTTCAGCTGTAGAATGCCCAATGTAGAGCATGTCCAAATATCACTTAGTATTATTTGCTCTCCTGCAAGTAAGGTCTTGGAAGCAGAAATTTGTGTCAATGCCTTTGCTCTCCATGAAGTGGACATTGTTTCTGTTGTCCTAAAGAACCCCTAAGCAATGAGCATATTTTCTCTCTTAAAGACATTTACTTGGCTCTATTTGTGGAGAAGAAACAGAAGAACAGGGTTCTACTCAATAGTCAAAGGCTTTGCATAGGTTCAGATACTTTACCTATTTTACCTAGTTTAAAAGGTAAGCAATGCAAAATGTCACACAACAAGACCTGGCTGCAGATCAAAACAGATAAACAAAATAATAATAAAGCTTATTATTTGAATGTCTCTTTCTTCCTTTTCTACAATTTCAACAGTGTTGATGGAGGTGCAGAGGTTGAACCAATTAGATTTGGGCAAAGGTTTTGACTTGGGACAACAGGAGGATATTCTGACAGATTGATAAGGCAATAAAGTTCCAAATGGCAATGGTAGCATATAATGATAGTGTCCATTTAATCACTCTGTACAGATATATATAATGTTGTACAGTGGTTCAACATCTTAGCTTTACAGAATAGATCAGAATCATGCATAGATCAAGTTAAGTAATACCTATTTAGAAAGTTTCTGCAACTTGCCTGAGATCAGGTGTGCAGGCCAAGGAGGGTTGTCAGCCAGCATGGCTGGATAAAGGGGATCTTAAAACAGAAAGAAAAAAGGAAAGCCAAATTAGCTTGTGAATCATGAAAGAATTCATCAGGGAGATTTTTTTTTCCCCACTTCAAACAACTCCAAAATGAGAATATGTCATTTCTTGTGAAGATAATCTATAGTAGGTATATGAAGTAATGTCCTACTCTGTCATTCTCAGGGAGCAGATTTCTATTAGATATTAATGCCATTTCCCTCTGCAAGTTAAAAGCAAATAAGGTATTACATGTTACATATGAATTCAAACCACCACAACTTGGAAAACTCTTTCCTTCTCAACAACCACCTTAGTGAGAGAGAATCTTGGGAATGTACATTCAATTTTAAATCAGTGTTTGCTAGTCTGCAGATAAAATAGCTACTTAATGAGTTTATCAACAGCATAGAATCCATGATAAGGGTTTTATCTCCATAGCTTTGACTGGGCAGACTGATTTGTCAGGAGCTGAGAGAAAAGTTCTTGTGTTCTAAAATATGTTTTAAAATTACCTATCTTGTTTCTTTTCTATGAATACTGTCCTTAATATATATTTTTATTTACAGTTATATCTAGCAAGTGACCATAAAACATTTCTAAAATTTGCTGAAAAATCATACCTTCAGCAAGTATATTTGACAGCTGAGCTTTCCCCACTTGACTTGCTGGCAAGCTACCTTCTTGGATCCACAGCTGCATCTTGAATATGAAGGATTTCCAGTGCCTGTAAGAAATTAAAACTGTAGGGAATGTTATGAGGATTTAATTGAAACAGGAGGTGGAGTACTTAGAAAACATGTTATGCCCATTTTATTCACATATTTCTCTTCTGCCAGTTCTGGCCTCTAACTTCAAGAAGGGGGAGAGGGAAGGAACAACCTCTTTTTAGTGACAGAACCTACTTATACAAATATTTGGTTATGCTGTTCAATTTGAGGTTGACTTGTGCAATTTTTCTCCTCAGAAGTTTTCAGAGGTTGACATTGTGTTGTGAGGGTGCAGTACTTGCCTGTTTTTCAGGAATTTGAGGCACCTAATTACGTTTCCAATATCAGGAGCTGTGATCAAATAACAACTCCTGTACACTAAATTTAAAACTATTAAAAAATTCTCAAGGCATCTGAATATGGGGATGTTTTTCCAAACATTTTTAGCCTTTTGTAAATACAATATTTTCCTGTACCAGAGAACTGTTAGGCTTCCTGAAGTGCTGGGTGTACAGCAAAATATCACAAATATAACTGTTCCTCTACAGCCTTGAGCTGAGACTCATTTAGATGAATCAGCTCACTAATTAACACAATCTGACTGATCTAACTGTCAAAGACAGTCTATATTCACAGTACTGGTGTAAAAATGTCTGACAAGTGTCTTCCCTTGTTTTTTTTTTCTAGGCAAACTGTACAATTATTATTACTCATTGCCATACTAATCAGAGCTTAGCTGTTCCAAGGAACTTTTGCATATGGTAAGAATAATTTATAAGTGGCAGAGATGTGCATAGTGATTTGCCAACATCGAGAGTTACTGTAAGATGCAAGATAGGTGCTTAGGAATGCACTGAGGAAATGGAAAAGAATGCAGAATGCCATTCTCCTTTCCCTTATTTTGTTTCTGGGCTGTGATGTGTGCTGCTGTGTTGCTGCAGACAATTGGCTCAGTCTTACTTGTTTTATTTTCTTTTGCATTTTTCATTCGTCATACCATTTGTCTAGCCTTCTCTAGTTTCTTGGTGGTTCTCCCTTCAAATATCATGTACAATTACAGTTGTTTGGGTTGTTTTTGAAGAAAAAAATGGTAAAGAGCAAGAGAACTAAATAAAACCACACTGCATAAAACTTCATGTGCTTATGTCCATCTGAATCAATCTCTCAAAAAATTGAAGTTAATCCAACAATTCAACTTAATATACATGCTTCAAATTAATATTTGTCGTGGTTTAACCCCAGGCAGTGGCCAAGAACCAGACAGCTCACTCCCTCACCAGCAGGATGGAGAATCGAATCAGAAAGGTAAAATCTAGAAAAACTTGTGGGTTGAGATAAAGACAGTTTAATTGGGAAAGCAAAAACTGCACACAAGCAAAGCAAGACAAGGAATTAATTCACTGCTTCCCACAGGCAGGAGGTGTTCTCCAGGAGAGCAGGGCCCCAGCATGTGTAATGGTTCCTTGGGAAGACAGATATCATCACTCCAGATGTCTCTACCTTCCTCCTTCTCCCTCCCACCTTATATACTGAGCATGATGTCCTATGGTCTGGAATATCCCTTTGATATGTATTAACTCCCTCTGCCTATCCCCTTTTCTTTGACTTTGCAGGACTTAATTTGGAAAAGAACATGAAGTCCTTTGTCACAATTATCTGGATTCCCATAAAGCTGAAGAAGAGAACTACTGGGAAATAGTGACAGGAAATCCTGGTGCTGAAGGTGGTGCAATGATTGAGAGACCTGAACCTCACCCAGGGGGATATCAGAAAGAATGAGCTTCATGAAAAGACATGGAATATAAAATTCCAAGATTACAGTTGACAGAGGTTGATGAGATGATTTAAAAAATGCAAGTCTCATATTAGTAATATTGCATAATCTCATTAACTCAGCAAGGTTATACAGTGGGCAAAAAACTAATAAAATTCAATGAACCACATGTTACATCAAAACTTTGTGAATCAGGAAAGGTTCATTTTCCTATTTTCACCTTCACTGATGGCAATAGATGTTGGAATCCAGGAAATCTAATAGATTTGCATGAAGAGTATATTTAACCAACTCTTTCAACACCAAACCAGTGTCACACATTGTAAAAGGATGAGTGTACAGTTTCCAAAACACTGAAAACCAAACACATGCAAACTGTCATGGGATGCTTTGACATTTAAAGTTCATCTGAAAGAAAGTTGGGCTTTGAGCTTTTTCCACTCCCATCTAGCACAACATTGCCAATTGCTAATAATCACGAGTGAGATCTCTTTATCTTGAGATTAGCTTTAGATTTATGGATATAAATTGAGGATTTTGTATTTATCCATGTATTCAAAACACTTAAATATCAAGTAATCAAGAACCTGAGTGCAGTGATACAGACTAGAGACTTCTGACAGCCTTTTCCATGCATCATCATGTTCCATTTTACCTCTCACTCACAGTATTTTTTGATCCATAATCACTTTTAACAATTTTGAGAGCAAGGTAAAATTGTCAAAGAAAATTAGGCACCCACAAATTTCATGAAAAGAAGTGCCAAAGTAGAAAAGGAATAAGAGATGCTGGAAGTTTATCTAGTAAAAAAAAAATTGCAGTCTATGTTCCTACCTAATTAGATACTAAAGAGCCCACGTGAAAAAAAAATGACACTAGAAGGGTGCAAGTTTTAGCTGAAATTCACATTTTCTTAAATAACAAAATCAACCAAGCATAAGATGCAAAGACTTTGAAAACAGATGTCATTACTTCATAGAGTTACCTGTCTTTATGTGGGAGCTGAAACAGCAACACAGAACTTTTAATGTATAACATTCCATTGCATCTATTTAGTAAATTCATGTATACATATTCTATTTCTTACTGTGCCACATGAGCAGGATATTTCTGCACAAAATAAGTGAATATTTGAGTAAAATACTATGTAGATCTCCATTCTCAAAAAGATTCCAAAGATCTTCAACACTGATAAAGGTCATATAAAACTTTCGAAGTTTTACCAAAACAAATCCACTAAACTTTCACAAAAGAAGGGATTGATCCAAACGTGTCTTCAAGGCTCTATTCCCAAACAGACTGGCAAGGCTCAAATATTTCTTGCCTTTATTCAATATAAATTAAATCAGCAGAGTGCAGCATCAACTGAGTAGCACTTGGCATGCAGGATCCCAGCGCAGGAGACAGGGTATGGTGCTGTGACATGCAGGTTTGCTTTGAGGGAATGTACTGCAGAGAACAGTTTTCAAATCACACTCCTTGTGTGCAGATCTGTTACAGATATTATAGAGGAAATTATAGTTAGGAACCTTTTCTTTCACTCTCTGTAGATAGGTAACCTGATATGTGGAAAATGATGCACATTTTTATAGAAGCAGTGTTAATATTCCAAATTACAGAGGATAAAATTCTGCACATTTCCACAACAAGTTTACATAAATCTTCTTATGTTTTGTAGGCATTAAACTAGTAAAACTTAAAGTACATAGTTGCACTGCAGAGTTTCTAGTTTGGCCATTGTGGACTTCTCCTGATATTAGAACTATTTTGACTTTGGCTCAGTCTCTTTTTTTTTTCTGGGTTAAATGTAATAAACAAGAAGAGGCCTCAAACCAAAACCATTTTTGAAAGAAAGCTTCATGTGAACTCATGCAGGAATGAGAACTGTGTGGGCAGAGCCTCAGCTGGCTAATGTTATGAATAGGAGTGTTTGCATGTGCATTTGTGTGGAAGCAAAGCAATGCAGGCTGGACAAAAAGGAGTTTAGTAAAGTCCTAGAGGAAACCCAAAGAGATAAAGAGACACAGAAAGAAGTACAAAAGCAGGTAATGTTGGAATTAGGTGCTGATTAAAAGTGGCTTGGGGATTCTTGTGTGTGTTTTTCTCACTCTGTGCTCATTGGAAAGGATTTCCTGAGCTGCTGGAAAATAAACAGGATTGGATCAGTAATCCCTGACTCCATTATCAGTGTTAAAGCCACAGATTTGTGGGCTATAATACATATTTATAATTACATCTGATTTGTGATAATGAATACAGATATTTATCTGGTTCCCAAGTTTTATTTTCAAAAGTGTTTTTACACTTCTGAATTCTGCCCACACGATGGCACCACATTTTTCTAACCAGCACAATTATTGCTACATTTGGAAAACAACCTGAAATGTCAAAATCCCTGATACAATGCCACAGAAGCTAACGGAGTTAAAACAGGCTTAATTCTGGGCTAGGACATGTCATTAATGTCATATCATATTTTTGAAAAATACAATGAAGCAACAGATGTAGAAAGAACAACACAGAACATTGTGTATTGTATGCAATCAACTTCTTTAAACTAATTGCAACACTAAGTAATTTGCAACCAAAACATACTTAGAGGCAATTATCTTTAGGAGCTTTTCCTTTTGCTTTCCATGTAGACTTGATGTGTGACAACTGATGCATGTTTTTATAGGGGCACTGTTATTGCTTATTCCCCTTTACAGAAATTAAAATTATGCACATATTCACAACAGATTGACATAATTCTGCTTTGATTTTGTAGGTGTTAAACTAGGAAGAAAATCAGGCTGTGTAAAATGCATCACAGTGTTTCTAATTTCTCCATTGTGAACATTTGTTGATAAATATAGGATTTAATATAAAGAATTATGGACTTGAATATTAGTGCAGAATCTGAACAATCCTGCAATTGCCATGTAGAGACACAGTATGTCTGGGGGATAGGGCAATGGAGACCTGACCCATACTCAGACCATCAAATAGCTAACTGCAAACATTTTTTGCTTGCCCTACTATTGCATATCATGAAATATGGACAGTGATGTTTGCCTCGTTTGCAATGCACTTGGCTTTTTTGTTAGTATATGGCAAAGTCATGTATTAAGAAAGCTTTTAATGCTTCTTCCAAATTAGACCCACAAAGATATAGCTCCATAAAGTACATTGTGGGAAGATAAAACTCACTTTGCCTCCATCCCAGGCAGTTCAAAAGCTGTTAGCATGAAGCTGATCCTGAGCTATTAGTCCTTGCTGAAGGACAGAGTGCATTAGTTCAGGTTTAGTGCTGTGTTAATACAGCTTTTCACAGACCTGAGGCACAGAGAGATCTCACATCAGCACACGTTTTGCTGTGCAGGTGTGTGTTAGCAGCACAATATTGAAGCAAGGAAGAGGCTCAGAGAATTCAGAGTCAGCAAAGAAAACTTACAACTTAAACATTGGTAACACTGGAAAATGAAAATCCAGTTTTAAATCTGCCTTTTCACTTCCCTCTCTATTGCATTCTTCTCCAACTCATCTTTCATATCACATCACTTCTCCTCTGCCATGTCATCTAGCCCAAACTTACTGATTTACTGTGGTTATAAAGTGCTCTTCTAGCACTCAGTACGAGTCCCTGGCCCTGCACCTAATCACATCAGTATCTTCAGAGGCTGCTTTGCTTTTCAGTGATTGTCATGAACTATTCTTTTAGCTCAGACAGCTGATAGAGAAGGAAGCCATATGCAGGTTTAGTAACTGGATAAAACATCTGAGAGGGAAAAAAAAAGGCACAAAAAAAAGCAGAGAACATTACAATAAAATTCCACCCAGCAGTGGAAGAAAATATCCAAGCACTGGAAAATTTGGTGGAGTTGGCAGGTAAGAGGGTGATTTTGATAACATCTGTGCCCACTCACCCTCAATTAATGTTGCATGTCTGTTGTAATTTGAGCAGGATGGGTGTGAAACCATAGCTGCTGCTTTAGAAACACTTAGGACTTCAGTGTGTGAAAACTAAACTAAGGGGGCCACAAAATAAAAAATACAGATGTGAATTGCAAAGTACATTAAATACGAGTGGAAACGAAATCTCTATGTCATTTTACCTTCAAATGCTATCCTGTTTTAGGCTTTGTCACAGGTCTTGCCTCCATTCTCTGCCTGACCTGCTTTATTTCCTCGTCTGTATTCAGCACAGAGAGGGACAAGCCTTGGTTTGCAGCTCCCATTTCATGCTGATTTGACTTCGTCCTGGAAGCTGGAAAAGGGAATCTAATCCTGAGCACTGGATTCCCCTGGCGAAGAAGAGGAGTGGGAAGATCTGTCACCTTGCTGGATGTGTGTTATTTCAGCAAGGATATGAGCAGCCATAAGAATATCAACCACAGGATTTGCATGATAAGGATTACTCATAATAAGTGAGACAACTTGTCACTAAGACCAAGGGAGACACCTCCATTTTTGGAGTGGTTTTTTTGCTCAACACTGTGTATAGAAGGTATGTAATGAAACAATTGCCACTTTTCTTCGTATTTTTTTTTTTTTAATTACTGGGCTTGTACAAGGCAACATATTTCACTTGAGGAGAGAATCAGTGCTAGAAAGCATTACTACAACAGAGGCACTTTCTCTCGAGAAGTTTCTATATTTTTTGGCAAGGAAGACTCAAAGTTCAGTGAATAGGCACAAACATTTAAAAATGCCTGATGACATTAATACCCACATTCAATGATGAAATTAATTCATACACATGCATCTCTGCTGTGTGTTTATACAAGGAACTCAGAGAGCTAATTTCCCAACATCTGTTAAATGCTGCTTCATACAGGACGTCAAAACAAAACTAAACAGACCATCCAGTTAGAGGCCAACTAGTATATATATTTCTATAATGCTGGTATTGTTTTAATTATAGGCTCCTTGGGGCAGGAACCATATCTTCATCTTCATCTTTTTTTTTTTCCAAATACAAAAAACTGCAGCAGAGAAGCTCGGTAAGTAACAGTATAAAGCTGTTATTAAAAGTGGTTGTGAGATGACAAGAAACTGAAGTAAACCTGGTA